CATCCATTTAGAGCGTAAAACATGTGGCCATTTATCCAGTGAAACGATGCTCTTTCATTATGAACCAGATGTAAGACCAACTGGCAACTGACTTCCTGACACTGATCTTCTCACCCTCGTTTCTGGATTCCTGTCTTGTCAGTTTGACTTGCCAGACATAAATACAGGCTGTATAGCGTCTTTTGTAACGATGCATAATATTGGGCTCCTACGCCTTTATGGGATGTGTGAGCAAGGGTGTGTCCACCATCTGCCCCACACAGGGAGGGGTCAAGTGACAGGCGATGCATATTACATTCCGTCACAATGAGTTAAACCTGTCCACTGTTCCCAGGGTTCATTTTGTCGTCCTTTTTATTGTTGGTTCCACTGTAACCGTGGCGACGAGCACGCAGCAGTCCAGGCTGGAGAGAATTCCATTATGTACATGCATTCCTTACCTGTTGTTTTTTTCTCTTTTTTCACCAGGTGGTTTCGTTTCTCTCACCCTGTTATTTTCACCCCCCCCCCCCCATCCTGGTCTGTTGCCCACCCCCCCATGTCCCATGCATCTGTTCGCCCCTCCAACCAAAGCATTCCCACAGCCATGATCTGTTATGAGCTCCAAGACAGTGATAAATAACAGGCTCGTGTTAGTCTATTTTTTTTTCTTAAGCTGAAACTATGTTTGCCAGTCCCTAAAGCACATTTTCAGGATTTTGATCTACAGTATAAAGCCTTTAGCAAAGGGTAAAAGTGGTGTTTCAAAAGTGCACATCACAGCATATACAAACTTCTTGTCATAAATAAAGTTATCTCAAAGAAAAATTTAAATTCCGTGTCCCTAAAGGAGGGATATGCAGAGAATACTTACCTGCAAAAGGCACAAATCCTTTCATGCTGCATGTCCTTTGAAGAGTACAGGATGGAAGAAGGTTAAAATATGCATATAATTTTAAATGGGCCCAAATATAACATTAATATTTACCATATTATTTACATGCTCTTGCCTCCATTTTAGAAACTTCCTTAGATTGTTTCCTTGCAGTTTTGGTTAACATCGTTGTTTTATTCAGGCATCTAGGTTCTTTTTCTGTCCTTGATCTTGGTGTTTTATTTGCATCATATTCTATTACGAGCATCATACTAAAAGGACTTCATCATTTATGCCTGACTGACTGTATTTTTCACAGAACATCCACTCATCCAACCGTGCTATTAGAAAGATAACTTGCAGGAGGCCGATGTGTACATCATGTGGATCATTGAAGCAAATCGAGTTTTACTTGCTGTTTTTGTGCTAAGACACACGGTATCTGATGCACTTAAATACAGCTGCTAGGATTCAGCCAGGGGAGGGTGGGACTGAAATGCGGATGTAACACTAATGCTTACAATTCACTAAACCATTTGTATATTTATATGGCATTGTCATTAATATATACAACATACCATAAAACATGAATGAGAAGCTTTAATTTAATTACCTGCACAACACTTGATTGGAACCCCTAACTAGGCATATTCCCTTCATGTCACATTGTCAATTGTCCAGTGAAAAGCCAGCACTGCCCAAACATTGCCCAGCACTCCACTTGGTCTCCCGCATTAACTGATGAGGGCTTCTCATCACTAATAGCACATCAGCACGATATTTTGGGACTCGTCTATGTTCTCCCTCAAAATCAGCTGCAGCCCCAGAGATAGATAATGCTGTCTAATTCCTCGAGATATTTCACTGAAAAGCTCAAATGGTTCCTTCATGTCACCAAAAACAATACAGCTCATTATGCTTTTGCTTCAATGGAATGGATACATAAAGTAATGCTTTGTAAACAAATTCCAGTTACAATGATGCTGCAATCAATGACCCTAGTTAGATATCCTACAATTTAAACGTTCACTTGTTTACAAATGATAGTGTAAAATACAACTGAATGTATGACTGCTTGTTCAGAATGTATTCACTGATGAGACTTCTAAGCACTTATGTAATTTGCTCTGCCTAAGGGCGTCTGCAAAATGCTGTAAATGTAAATGTTAAGTGTATTTAGAACAAAAGGGCAAATTTTGAAATATATAATATACAGTGTATTACATTTATAGGTCTAGCGACCTTTACGAAATGTTTTGCATAAATGCCTCGATGGATAGATGCCTAGGAACCTACAAAATGAAACATGACTATACCGGGATCTTAGCAGTCCCTATAAGCGACATGTGGTTATTGTGCTTGCCATTGTTCTGGGAAACAGGGGTTCGAAACAACATGAGAATGTGCACTTAGTAGTTGACGATTATAGCAGTCTGCGGGTCTCTGCGGGTAGAGACGGAGATGTCGCTTTCCTGGGAGGTACGCTAAGGAGTGACGACAGGACCGCGATTCGCTGCGGTACCTAACGCCCCAGTGACAATTCTGCTCTCTGAAGTAAAACCTGTAACATTTTCCATTTATCTCATTTTCCTCGTCTGCATGGCAATGGCGCCTAGCACAAGGCAATAGGCAGGTATATAGCTAAGACAGTATGCCAATCATTCACAGTGCACATACACTCACACACTATGGGCGATTCAGAGATGCCAGGTAGTTTAACAGCATGTCTTTGCACTGCAGGGATAAACTGACAACAAAGAGAATCCATGTGAACTCCTCGCGCACACAGAGCCGAGGTGGGGTTCAAACCATCAGCCGGGGAGATGTGAGGCAGCAGAGCTACCCACTGTGTTACTGTGCTAGCCTGTAGCAAATTGAAATTGAAACTGTAAATATACGTGTATCTACTCTATATATAAATTTCTGCTGCACAGCCTTGCCAAATGAGACCCTCTGCGTCTGGCTAAAGTTATCAGATCAATACTGCCATCTGCTGGCTAACAGGCAGTCATGTCCAAGCATATTGTAGTCCTTCACTTTTCAATGTTCTCCTCTTGCTTTTTTCCCCTTAAAGACACATTCAAAACTTTAAAGACGGACATTTTGATCAAAAAACAGTTTTTTTTATCACTGACATGGTGTGTAACACAGCCAACATAGCCTTTTTTCTCAGTTAAAATATTTGGCCACGGTGACGGAAAAGTCTTGTCACAGACGCAATTGTCTGTGTACAAAGACACTGACGACCCTAGTAATGATAGCCTTCTATAACAGGATAAGATGCTTACCTTACAAACATCCAGATGTGCAACTCATAAAACAATGTCTCCAGATTGAACTATTTCACTTTTTTTTCCTTAAAATTCGTAAGTCCAGGAACGTCTCTGTCTTAATTGTTACTTACTGTATACTCTGTGAATTCAGGACGCAGGCAGAAATGCAGTGTAGAATTTCAAATCAAGACGACTTTCTTTCAGTGCATATTTTAATGGATGTTCAGAGGTATTTAGTAGATTGCTTTTTTTTTGGGAGGTGAGTGGCTTAAAGGCCAAAGCCTCTGCTCCGGTGATCGGAAGGTTGTTGGTTCAAGCGCGTCAGCAGAACAGCCACATGTGCAGGGTTGGATTAGCTGCCATTCTGTACATATGTGCGCACACATACTGCGAGAATCTGCATTTGAATTTTGTGGATTTTTAGTTTACACAGTCAGTTTTAACTATTACTTTATCTGCTTGTTTGCATTTGAAGGAACCACTAAAACCTGCACAGATCTCATAACAGCCCAGACCACCTAGCACTGCTGCTTTTGCACTATATTTGCAGTGTTATCTGCTGCTTTGCACACATATTGTACAGAACATATTTATTCTTCCAGATACATCCATATCTCCATACCTAATCATATTTTTAACTTATTTTATTGAAGCGCCATCCTGTGTCGTGTAACTAATTGTTTGTCCTGTCTTATTGTCCTGTGCCTGTCTACAGGAAACACACAAGTATCTCAATGTACTCAGTACTTGTACTAGTACACAGGACGATAAACCTTTTGAATCCTTTGAATCCTATAAATTCGGATGATTGCTCCAAAACCAGATCTTGTTGGGGATGTCTACTGCCTGTTTTAGAGTCCAGGCTCGTGAGACCATGAAGCATTAAAACATTTACAGTACATCGTTAATTCCTCGCAGTTATTGTTGGTTATTGGTGCCTATTGTTGGTTAGACGTTGGTTAGTGGTTATTGTTGGATATTGAAGCACTATTTATCGTTTATAGTGCAATTTCTTAACTAACCACTTGAAGGCAGTGTTTAACAAAAAGTTAGCAAATCGCTTAAATTCACCGTAGACTATGCATGACAAAGAAGTAGTGCGGGGAAAAGAAGAAAAGAACGATTGAAACAGTCAACATTATCCCAATTGACCTGACCATGTAACTTGTTTAAAGTCAGTGCAATTCTTTGTGTGGGTGGGAGGATCACACTATTAACTGCGTTTTTCCTCGTTTTTGTTTTATTCCAAGTGACGATTAAGAGCCGAGCAGGCACAAGAGAAACTTGAAAATGCAAGATCACACGTGCATCAAAAGAAAAGATGCGCATATTTCAGTCTCAGGTTTATCCAAATGTTTTACAGTGAGCCCACATGTTCTTTGTTATAAATCTGACTCCTTGAGGGAAGTACAAAATATCTCTTTATCGTTTATTTCAGGTTTCACGGAATCGAGATGAGACCATATTAGGCCATATTACTTAACACACTTTGCTGTATACAATGCTAAATTTAAGTAACCAAGTAATTAAGTAGGGCGTTAAATGGAATAAGAATACAAACTATCTTAGATATCATGTCTAAAGGCAAATAAAAATGCAAATGATTACGTACCTAAAACATTAATATAGTGCGATGCATCACAAAGAATAAAAAACAATGAAAGTCATATTTCACTAGTATATACCTATAGCCTAAATGCATCTATATACTGGTTAAATAATAACTAAAAAAGATTGTGCTAAATAACAGAATATTTGAGGTTTATAAGAGTACGTACTTGTGAAAAGGAAAAACATCAGCCTGGGTCTCATAATCTTGCTGGTTCATTGGCATCCCCATCAGAAGGTAAGCTAATATGGCGTGCTAATACATAACAAAATTAATTGCGCTTAAGTAATATATTTAAAGACAGTAAACACAATGATTTAGGGTCTGCGTTGCATGATTGTCTAACACTTTTGTGCCTGATTTAAAGGAATAATTAAGACGCGCAAAATCTGTTTTTGATAATGCATGAACGGTATTTCTGTTCACAAAAATTACGAGAACTGTTTTTATAACCGGTTATCATGAAAATATGAAAATACGGCAACAAAGGATATACGCTGATGTAAAAGCACGTACATGAACACTGGCATGTAAGAGATTGTATTACCGTCATACTGAAAATTTCTCCACAACCGCGATTATTGCAAACTTAAGTCTGAATTTGTGAATCTATAATAAAATCCCAGATGTTTTGTGATTCTGCATTAACGTACGCTTGGTAATGGTAGAGTTAGTAATAGTGAGTCGTAGTTGTTGAAGGGATTGTTACTGTAATGTGTTTTTCAGCAGATGAGGGTACTTTCACTGTATGAAAAAGGTGCATAGTGAGATATTTTACGGGGTGCAAAAGTGTAAAGTAAAAATTTGTATACATGTATTCAAATTAAAATATTGAATAAGTATCATTATTATAAGCTATTGAGTGTAAGGACGATATGACCAGAAGAGGGAGCTATTACACTATTACCGTCTGAAAGCGCTTTTTAAACCTAGGGTGGGGAAAATACTTACGTATTATCTGTATTCAGACTACAGGTACACTTTCTGGCAGAATTACACAAAATAATACCTTGTCTGATATATTGTATTTAGGTAAAGTAAAATATCGATATAAAGAAAACTCACCAAAATATTTAGCAAATGCTATTAATAACTATTCTTCAAGAATATAATAAAAATTGAAATACGTCATTCTCTGTGTATATATCTGTGTATAAAACCGCCAATAATACCGTACAAATAGAGTAGTCTACCAACAAACGTGTTATTACTTTGTAAGGTTATGTTCAATGTTTATCTTATTAATTATTTATTTGTTTGTTTCTTTCATGAGACAGTGGAGCTACCATGTAATTACCCAAATATCCGCCTAGTATTTGTCCAGACTTGTGTGTTAAGTACAATTCAGCATTTTAAACATTGGTTTGCTGTCTTGAAATATACTGGATTCTATTATCAGAAGGCAGTTTCCCTACTTCAGACTCGGCCACCCAGGGGAACACCCACACTTCAACCAATATATCAGGCTGGTCGGCTGCGTGCGCTCCGATCCGGTGAGTTTTCCGTATGTTGTAGTGCTGAAATAATCATTTTGCAACTTACCAGCGCGAGTCTTTTCGCTAAAAAAAAACGAACTGTATCAATCGGCTTACACGCATTTTACTAACTTTATCTTTCCGCATCGATTTAGGATATTCCCATCTCATGCTGTATAAATCTACAATATTTTTCTTGAACAAGGACGGGCAGCTTTGGGAACGCCTTCTTGAACTATAAGACGGTAAAAACATCCTTGGGAAGCTGAGGGAATTGGGGTATTGCCGCTGTATGCACTGGAAAAATTCCGGGCTCATAGTGACGTCTTCTCGCTGTCAGGTCTCCCAGGGATCAGTTTTTTTTTTTTTTGCATCGCTCTCCGATTTGCATTTTTTTATCTTGATCTGTCTTTTCCCTGCGAAACAGCCCCGTATATCGGCGATTGTAGTTTCTTTATTCAAACGGCGTACGCAAAAAAAGCATCGGAAACTTAAAATAATGCGAGAGTGGCCGGGAAAAATACAGGCTTGACCGTGCTTCACATTTTTTCTCTGATTTTTAAAGCTTGTTTTTTTTTTGCTAGTCACTTGACTCCATATTAGTTGTCGTCCCTTATTTTTGTTCTTCTATTCGTTTGTTTAATTTGAATTGATCAGTGTCGAGTGTTTGGTGGTGGGGGAGACATCATGTCGGATGTATTACCCTACAACGAGGAGAAAATAACTCACTATGGCGATGACGAGGACGTGGGGCAGATCTCCATCACCTGTCGTCTGCAGGATACTAATAACTTCTTCGGGGCTGCCCAGAATAAAAGGCCCCCTAAACTCGGCCAGATTGGAAGAAGTAAACGAGGTGAGTGAAATTTCCGCATCTCATTTTTATACGCTGCCAGCTATATGGCCAAAAATAAACGTAACCAAAAAAAATATATATATGTATTTGATCGATGTCAACATTATACTGCATCAGTCCTTATGAAATGGCTTATAGTGCCGAAAATTATTATTATTATTATTATTATTATTATTATTATTATTATTACCTCTTTGCCTTGTCAAAAGTTTGGTGGCCAGTGAGTTACCTTTGTTTTGTAGGCAGTATAATGATAATACAGCGTCTTTGCCGCAATTCTGATTGTAGTGATCGATGGCTTGAAAGTGCACACATATACTTGGATTAGTTAATTCACCTTTTCTGTGGTTAATAGCAGCCGATGCTTTCTAAGCTTGGTAATCCCCTTAGGCAGCAAAGAACCATTTTTAGGGAAATGACTGTTGCCCTGTCAGTCATGATATATATTCTATTAATTCAAAGACGCATATCAGGGAGAAGGATGGTAGCGATGGTTTGGTTTTACTCGTCTCTGGGCGAGCAGCCCCCCCTCCGCTCCGTGGCCGCCTGGGTAAATGTAAACAGTGTACGCTTGCTTTTTGTCTTCTCAGTATGGTGATGCGCTCCGGTACAGGTTGTGCCTCATTAACACCTGGAAACATAAAAGCGAAAGTATGACAGTTCTATGTCTTGTCTTGTCTTCTTTGCAGTTGTCATCGAGGATGACAACATCGACGATGTTCTGAAAAACAAAACAGAGAAAACGCAGACAGGTGTCTAAAGTGATCCAAAGACGTTGATTAGAGGAGATTGGTAACCATGCGTCACCCTCACTTTTGGCAAAAAAAACAGTACTTTGAAATCAATCACAAAAATGGGCTGCAGTCCACATTAGTCCTTTTGCAGGCTTGTGAACAGTAAAGGCGGAACATTTTCTGTCTGATGGTGCGTAATGAAAGTCTTATCGATTGATCTTAACCCATCCAGATGTGCAGAGGCATGAAAATGGAATTGTGTCCCCAGATTTAGAGCCAGTATTGTACAGGTCATAGCATGGGAAGAAGGAGAACGATACAGATAAGCACACCATGTATCTTAATCCCTTTGTATTCTTCTCTTGTACCCTGGCTAAAGATGAGCACTTTGTTTACTTTGTATTTTTGCAAAAAAAATAGTCATCCTTTTTTTTTTTTTTTTTTTTTTTTGATGCACAATGGATGTAAAACGCTTTTTGATGTTGTTCACCTGTACAAATAGATCATTTATTAACTTTTGGATACCTATTTTGCAGTGCTGAAGGATGGAACAACGTTTTATATAGAATGAAAAATTAAGGTGTTACTTTTTTATTATGAATTTGATGTTGCTTGATTTCTATTTTGTTGTTGCTATAAACTGCCTGCTCATTTGAAAGTGAGAAGCTGTTTTTGTTACCCAGCTATTTATAGAATACCTGGTCTCATTTCTCTTTTTGGTAAAAGTGTTTATCATTACTCTTTCTGAATGAATAAGTATATTTTGGGTATATTTTATTGAACATAATCATACCTGTGCCAAATATCTCGGGAGGTTCCAGTCAGCTTGACTCTCCGTACTCTGAGTAAATGTAATATTTTTTGTTAATGTTTTGTTGCCCGTCATGTTTACGTTCCAGGGTCTTCATAATGGTGAAGTATCAGCTTTTGCATGAAACAGGCAAAGTTGCCTATTGCACCTGTGAAACTGGTAAACTATCAAATATCTTGTTTGCAACTTCAGATGACCGACCTCAAGAACCCTCTTTAATTGATATTGTGTATGTTGCACTTTGAACTCACTGAATAGGGCTATTTCTGCAATGTACAAAAACAACATTAAAATTATTCAAAACCAATATGGTGTGATGTTTTTCATTCTTGGGCATGACTTTGGGTTATTGAGCATTGGATGGTTGGGGGGGGGGTAGAGGTCTCTACACATTTAAGGGGTTCCAGGGGATTGTACTGGCTGGTTTTGATTATTGGGGGGGTTACAACTTAACTCAGTATCTCTTGGTCTCAGTAAGAAAGTAAGTTCTGCAGCCGCTGACCTGATCAGCTTTGTCATATGAAATGTGTGCCGTCTGTCAGAGAAACTCACCAAAACAGTAAGTTTGGGATGTTAAGTTCATTATGTATGAATTTGTTTTTTTTTAAATTTGAACTCACAATACCATACAATGGAAAAACTTAATATGATTTACACATAATGTAACTACAAGGATCATAATGTTGAAACAAAGTGCTCAGACTCCTTTTAAATTCAAGTTTATGGAATAACAATGATTTAACAACACCCAGTTACACAGACTGATCATTAGCAAAGATGATATCAGTTGGAATTCACAGTGGGGCAAAGCTTGATTAATGGTTTAATTTGCAATAGTCTAAAGTTGCATGAGCTGTACTTACACATAAAGTATATCAAACAATAATGTAGTATAAAATATACTGAACTTTACATAGATGAAATATCAAGATATAACCGCAGCTAAAGGTGCACTAATACAGAAAAAAAAACACTTAAAAAGTTACACATATGCAATAGTTTCGAGTCACAGTGTCTGACTTTAACTGTCAGGAATAGTAACTCAAGTTGAATCTGGGTGCAGCCAGGCATTCAGTGCTAAGCAGGTGAATATTCTGAACTTTGCTGAAGAGCAGGAGGGATTATACAGTCCTGAGAATGACGTGTAACTCATTGCTCATGAACCTGAGCAGGTATAGGGTCTGATGAGGTCTTGTTGATACTGTATTGTGTTGCTGTTCCCCTGGACATCTTGTTTGCAAGCACCATGGACTCAAACATGCTACAGAAATTAGCTGGTCGCTGATGAATGGTGGGGAGAGGGAGACACCAGCATGTCTGACAATGTAATAAATATAATGTCATACATATCACATATTTTGCAAGAGCTGAAACAGCAGTCACTAAAGACATTTGTCTTCGTGATGCAATGTCTACCATCTTTAGCACTCACTCACCCATAAGGCTATACAGCTGTAGTATTGTTATTGTCATCCTGTCACGACTTTTGAGACAAAGGATTCAAGGTCAGACGTGTTTTGGCGAACCAAAAGTGTTTTATAGAAAAAAAAAACTAAACAAACACACTGGGGAAAAAAACCAAGATCGCGAGGGATCAAAACAGGGGAACAACTAGGAAGGACACAGGCTGACAAGAGGAGTGACATTAATGACTGTACTGGGGAAGACAAGACAAACAGGTACTTATATACAAAGACTAACGAGGGGCAACAAGCATCAGGGGTGCCTTGTTAGGGCCCCCTTAGGGAGGAGACGGGAGGGTCAGGCGGGCAGAATGTAGCACAACCGGGTTTTCATCTGACCTAGAGTATTTATAGTGAGTGAAAGTGTGGAAGAGCAGATTTCATATTTCTTGGTTATTGATATAATATTGTGAGATGAGGGGTTTGCTGTCTCGGGTGCGCGGGTCAGGCGTATGGGGAACCTGGCTCTCTTGCATTTTGTTTTAGTCCCAATGGTCTCTGCTATGGTTGCCAGTTCAATGCTTGTGTGAGTTAATTTTGGATCTTTTTGTTTTTTGGGGATTAGCCAAAATGGTACATATATTTTTATGTTTGTTTTTGCACGGTGCTGGATTTTTCCCTGTTCCACCCCATAAATCTTTAGAAGGGAAAGCTGGATTCCCTGCTCATTTACCATGAGTGCCACATGATTCTGTTTGCCAGCTGAAGGAATTCTCACGTTCATCATTGCATTAATATGCAAAACAGTAGTGCCTACAATTCCATGTTTGATGACTTTTATACTGACATGGTTTGCCCTATTCTTTTTTTTGATTCCAAAGGCTGAGATGACAGGACATAGGATGACATTTGCCAGACAGAATGAAGGCCTTACCAGCAAACTTTTCTGAAGCCTGTCAGTGAGCCACCTTGGTTCTTCGGTATGAGTTAGACACAGACATGAAAGTGTTGCCTGGTTAGGTTACCATGGAAATTGATGCTCCCAGCGCAAAGCGCAAGCATTATCTACAATGGAGCTTCTGTGAACCACTCCACATACTCACTTCACCAAAACAATACTCTCAATTACTCACCTATTAACACAACTTACATCATCTTAGCGGCCTTCCTCAATTTTGATAGCTGGCACTTTATTTCAACACTCATTCTGAGGGCCAAAAAATGAGCACTCTGGATTATTGAACGCGAGTTTGTTGAATAAATGCTGAATAATACTCTTCAGTACAATAATAGCGGGGACATGGGGTGAGATCATCTAAAAACATAATTTGCATAAGAATAATTGAAGCACTTAATGGACGCTATTTATATAAGTAGTTTTTAGTACGTTTTTGAGCATGCAGAAGACAAAATGTACTTAGGCTGTGTTGGTCCTCTGGTACTCGTTGCTTCCTGACTGATTCCTTGATCTTCCTCATCATATCCACTGACTCCCAGTCAACCACCTATTGTTTTACAAAATAAGAAGCCATTTTGCTTCAGTTATCCTTAACCACTTCATTTTACTTCATGTGAAGCAATCATTTTCTTTTTGAACATGATTGCTTTAGTAACCCCCACAATTCATAGTTCAGTTTTTCTTTAAGTGATGAAAGATATTCTATCTGTCAGCAGGTTCCGTTCCATTTAGGTCGTTCACATTCTCATCTCTTACTGCCTATTTATTTCACCATGGGATTAAAATTTTATCTGGGAAAAAAAAAGTTCTGTGACTGTTGCTATGGAAACGTCTTAGCCAAAAGAGGAGGGGTTCTTTGCAAGCTGACAACTCTCGCCTTATCCAGTTTTTGTTGCTGGATATTGTATTGCTGTGCAGTGTATACTCTGTAGGAGGTAAAATTGGACGGCATTTGTGCTGACCGAATTTCAGCCCCTTCAGTATCTATTCATAGGGAAGTGCAGAGGTGTTGATTATGAGACCATTAGCATGTAAAAAATAAGAAATTCTTTTGAATGTATTTTAAAAAGTCATCTTTGTTCACTTGTTCAGGTAAGTATTAGCTATTCCACAAGGTATAATGTGAGGAATATATCTGTTGTAGGTGACTGATAGCAGGTAATTGCCAGAAATGAAAGCACTCAGTCTACACAAACCGCTCAAATGTACAATTCTGTCCTTAGATAAAGGAAATCTAAAAGGTTTCTGTAATCAATGAATACTCTAAACAGGGTTATGTAAAAACCCAGAAGGGTGGATTTGGTATCGTTTCATTTTAAATTGCGAGATAATTTGTTTACAAAATTTGTAAAGGAGCAGCCACTTTCATTTGAAAACCTTTCTGCTGCCACTGGTAGAAACAGCTTGACCTTAACCAAGTGCTCCAATGACATGCAAGAGTTGAGAGCTTTCCAGCGATGAGGCAGTTCCATCAGAAGCTATAATCACACCGTTTGGGGCCAGGATAGTTGAGGATGTGCACAGTGGCGACTGGATGAGCTGGGCTACGGAGCAATATGACACCTCACTCCAGCAGAACCCGTGGAAAGGACAGCCACAGGCTCATCCAACAGGAGGTCCGAGCCGGGGAGGAGGAGTCCTGCTACTGTAGGATGGTGGGTATGTGCAAGCAGGGAGCTTGGACCAAGTGGGATCATGCAGTAGGCCGTAAGATCACCTCAGCTGATCTTTGGAAGGTCGAAGCATATCGCTTCAAATTCCTGGTTCAGTCCATGTATGATGTCCTCCCAAGTCCCACTAACCTGCACAGCTGGGGCTTGGTGGATTTACCCACTTGCCAGCTCTGCCAACAGAGGGGAACCCTGGAGCACATCATCAGCGGTTGTCCAAAGAGCTTGGCAGAGGGGAGGTACTGGTGGCATCATGACCAGGTTCTTCAGGCACTAGCTGATGCCACCAGCACTACCATGAATAGCAGCAAGCTACATCGAGCACAGACCACTATCGCCTTTGTTTGAGTGGGAGAGAAACCACAGCCTCCACCAAAGCCCCAAAGTGGGATACTGGCATCTGCAGGAGATTGGCATCTCCTGGTGGATATCGGGAGGCAGCAGAAGTTCCTAGACATCGTTGCATCCATCACACTCAGGCCAGATGTGGTCTTGATGTCTGGGGGCTCTAGACAAGTCATCCTGATGGAGTTGACCGTGCCCTGGGAAGACCAGTTAGAGGAGGCGCAGGAAATGAAAATGGCCAAGTGTATGCGGACCTTACAGCTGACTGCTGGAGGCAGGGGTGGAAGGCTCGCTGGGAGCCAGTCAAGGTGGGATGCAGAGGCTTTGCAGGACAGTCTCTGTACCGGGTACTGGGCATTTGGGGCATCCATGGACTGCAAAGGAGAAGAATCATGAGGAGGCGACAAAAGGGGAGGAATGTGGCAGAGATGTGCTACCTGGACACAAGTCGGGACTTGATCACCCCCGGCTGGGTGGCCCGGGTGAGGGTGTCTGATGTTAGACCCGAAACACCCAATGACCCTGGGAAACATCACTGATGATGTGTCCAGGTTGCACCACTGGTGTAATATAGGAGTGAAGGACAGACATTTAGCACAATTATGGGGAACACGTCAAAAGATAGGTATCGAATAGAAGCTGAAAGAGGGGCTTAAATTACTCTCACTGCTGGGTAAATATTGGTATTATAGAAGCTAGAGAGGACTGAATCTGACTGAAATTAATCAGACCTCAGTGAATTCAAATAAATATCAATCAAGGCTCATAAATCAAAGAGAAAGTGATGTACAGGATAAGGTTACAGAAAATATAACAAAGAGAAGCCATAATTATAAATGATCATAGCAATAATGAGTCAGAAGAGGATGCAGACAGCAGAATGAGTTGCACCGATGGTGCTCACCTCCAGGGTTGTAGGTTTGAATCCCAC